TCATCATCATCATCATAACTTACTGTGCAATTATATATAGCTAATAATACAAAGTAATAACAACAATAATAGAAACAGTGAAATCAATGATTAATCAAACATTTTGAAATCTTCAGGAGTGACTCTGAACCTCTGAAATATCACCATAATATAAAGTACAGCTCTGAATGTGACAATATGTAAGTGCATTCAGGTTCATGTGCATTTCTGGAGGTGTTTTTCTGTCTAATCACACCTCACTCATTGTGTTCTTGATGATTTACTAGCATGAGTCTGCAGGCTGACATTCTTCACTCATCCGACCGTCATAAAGAGTCGATGAACCACAGCAGGGAGGCCACTGCAGAGATCAGAAGAAACGCACATGAACCGAACCTTCAGAGGCAGGTCGTTGGCTGTAAAAGTGAACCCTGTTGAGCAGAAACTGCAACAAGACAAATACATTTTGCTTTTATTTCAACAAACAGTATTCTGAGGAAGAGAAAGAAGGGGCCCCACCAGGATGTTAGCGATCAGGACTCAGGGCCTGTAGAGTGAAGAGGGGGATTTTGTCCTTATATAATCCAGGTGTTTTTCCATGACAGTTACAGCCATTCCCTGCATGGCTCCAGGGCTGGGCACACAGCCCTATGCAAAATAACGTGCAGCCCTGCCAAAGAGCCCTCCCACTTGCTATTTATTTCACCTCCAAGACGAGACGAGGGTGGAAGCAGCACGTGCACAACACAAACACACACATGTATGAACTCCCCTCTCACACACACGCTCTGATAAGACATAAAAACCGTGAAGCATCGCTCGATACTAAGTGTAATTGCATGTTTTCTTTCTGTAGGTTGTCAAATGTAATTTATAACACTCATCTTTCACAATGGAAGTGATTTCTGTGGAACGTGAAAATAACTTTTAGAACTCCTGATATCTCATTCAAGGGTGCCGCTTATCCTGCGCTTTATGAAGAGCATCCATTTGTCCTCGGGGTGCCCCTCTAGATTTTAATACCAGGACTTTTAAATCAGTCATAGTCACTGTAATGCTGTGTTCAGCTACATCCTGTCATTTTACTGGAATAGTTATCGATATAACATCTATATAATACCACTGTTTGGTGTGTGTGGGTTCTGAAAACAGAATACTTAATAAAAAAAATGAAATGTTAAAAACCAAAGCTGGAGGTTTTATGCTGGTACAGAGATCTCCAGAACTTCCTGCAGGTTGCCTGGCAACCTCTCAGTGCCAACACAATTCCTGGCAGTCTAATCTGGACGAGATTCAAGGGTGTAGTTTCCACAGAGATGGGGTGGGGTTCTGACATTTCCCCTTTACTTTCCTTTTTTATTTTTGTCAATGTCACCCGAATGATTCATTTCAAGTTTTCCTCTTAAAATCTCCCAGAGTGTCACTGAGCAGCGTCCTCTGACGTCCTGCTGCAGTATTCTGTGTGACAAGAGAGGAGGTGGTGAAAATGTTGCTGAGCTCATTTCAGTTTCTTCAGAACAATGAGCTCAATGAGCAGCAGCGAGTGCCACAGTAAGCTCTCTACTGGCGTTTTAACCCAGGCTTTCAGGCTGCTCTGTGTATTTGCTGGAGGTTGTTGAGGCATGAAGAGGAGACTTGCAGATAATCCCTACAGGGCAGAAAAAAATACTTCATCACCTCTGTGTGCTATTTGGGTCAAAAACATACAATTTATTGGCTACAGTTATTACTCACCTCCACGCAGTCAACCCTCAAACATGTGCCTTGTTGTTTTACACTTGGAGTTAAATGTGGATTAAAGAAATGACAAATAATGTTCAACAAGTTTGAAGACCAGTGAGCTGCAGAAGTGTTGGCGGGTCTTTATTTTTTATACACAGTATTATACAGGTGGTTTGTGTACTTTGGATGCAGACATGAGACTGGAATCAGCATGGACATAAAAATGTTAGCAAAAGGCAGATTAGTCTATTTTTAAAGTAATCCATACATTGCACTCAATATAATAAATGCAGCGTACTGACTACATTGCTATTAAAACTATTCAAAGATCAGTTCATCCAAATTAAGAAAAAAATAAATAAATTGAAACCCATTTTTAACCTTACCTCGCCCTGTAGAAAGTTTTATTTGTGGACCCAGGTTTGAATTAATTATTAGTCCTTGTAGTTTACAGTCCACTGGAGCTACTTTTTACAAACCAAATAGTCTCTGTGGAAACGGTTCATAGTGAGCTTCGGAGGTGGAGGCGTAAGTCTGTGAGGAGGTGAGGAAGATGCTGCTTTGCATCCTGTGTGGGAGCATTTTTCTTCCACTGAAACCTGCTGTTTGGTGAGTTCAAGGCAACAAAATGACTGGGTTAGGGTTAGGAAAATAGAACATTTGCATCCTTTCAGAACAGGTTTGAGCTCTTGCTAGATTTTTTTTTTTGGTTACCATGGTGATTAATCTCACCTCATCTACTATATGATTGGTTGGCTGAGCAGGAGCAGAAGTAAAGCAACAAAATACAGAGCAATGATAAGCTGATCAGTGACGTATTTGAGAAATATCACTAATGTAATTGAGAATGCAGTTTACATGTAGTTGCATAGAAAAGCAATTCTTAGGAGACATGTCTGTTCCTTGTATCCACAACCTGCATGATCATACCACAGTTTCCCACTTTACATCAGAGGGCAGCAGGCTGACATTGTGTACAAGAGATTATTATTCAGCCAGAGAGCTTTACTTTGAGATTCTGGTGCCTTGTAAAGAGCGCTCAGGTTACAGTTAAACACACCCAGACAGCATGTTCAGGTGCCTCACCGCAGCCATGAGGTTTTGTTGGTGTTATTAAAGCTGAATCAGCCCTTTGCCCCCAGCAGCTGAGTAACTCATCAACCTTTTGTTTCCAAATTTGGAGGGAAAATCAGTTACTTTATTTTGAAATATGTACGCAGCAGCAACAATTTCTGTCCAGAAGTGCTTTAAAAGTAAAAGTAAAGTAAAAGGGACTCCAGTGGAGCACAGTAATTGATCTTTCCAGCACCGGTGCTGTAACTCTTCACCCGCTGTCAAAGCTGTAACACTAGCGAGCTCTTCTTCATCAATCTGTCAGGCACCTGACAGCACATGCCCTGCTGGCTGACTGCAGGCAGCAGGATGCAGTCAGAACGTCGACACAGCTGTCAGCGTTGTCTCTGCTGCTGCCGCCTCTCAGGCCTTCAGCTTCTGTGCTGTACTGCTGTTTATTACAGAGACAATAAGGAGCAAAGAGAGGCTGGAATAGAATAGAATAGAGTTTTATTGCCATTTGCACGGGTCCATTACAGTACAGGCACATTGGAATTCTTGCACGGAAGTTATGCACGATGGACACGTGGGTGTGAAGCCTGAGAGAAGATGATAGAGCAGAATTACTGAACTTTAGGTCACCTTGCAGAGCCATGGTAGAAAAACTGATGGAATATTCAACGAATCCTGCAAAACATCAAATGTTTGAGTGTCTGTTTGCACGAGGCCGTCATGTGACTCATTTGTCCTCATAAAAGACGAGTTCACCTGGTCATAAATAATAATCCCACCTCTGTGGATTTTTAACTTTAAGGTCTTTGTTGTCGTTGTTTGGCTCCTGGCATCCAGATTGATTTTCATGTATCTTTAACAGAGCTCCTCAAGGTTTTATCCATCCATCCATTATCTATACACTGCTAATCCTCACTAGGGTCATGGGGGGCTGGAGTCTATCCCAGCTGACTCAGGGTGAAGGCAGGGGACACCCTGGACAGGTCACCAGTCCATCACAGGGCTACACTTAGAGACAGACAACCAAGCACACTCACATTCACACCTACAGACAATTTAGAATCACCAATTAACCTCAACATGTTTTTGGACTGTGTGGGAGGAAGCCGGAGAACCTGGAGAGAACCCACGCTGCACGGGGAGAACATGTAGACTCCACGCAGAAAGATGCGAACCAGGGATCCTCTAGCTGTGAGCCGATGGTGCTAACAACCGAGCCACCGTGCAACCCCAAATAAAACATCTCTACTCAAAATAAATAACCAGCTCACTCAGCCAGCAACACTTCATCACAAATATAAATATAATGGCTCTGAGAATTGTTAATGGTCTGCCTGATCTTGCATCTGTGTTCTCTCTTTGAACAACTGCTTTAAGACATGTGTGTCCATTGTGCCTTCAGGGAAAATGATCACTCACCAGTCTGATCATTTGGTGCTTTGTGGATTGTGGAGGACATTTGTTCAGTGTTTTCTACCCTGGAATTAAAATGGTGTTAAAATATTTCAAAATTCAGCTTTAGTTGCTAATAAGTCTACACAGAAAGCAGATTTTGCACAAGTAAGACAAAATGTTGAAGACCATACCTGTATGTGAACACACACACACACACACACACACACACACCGCTTTAATTATAATGGCGTCCCAGCTGCTGCTCACACCTGGACGTGAACGGTGCAGGTGTAAATACTGCATATTTATATGTCAACATTGAGGTGATGATGTGATTGTAGCTCTGCTGAAATGATCGAGACTCAACTCACTTTCTTCACTGATGCTTTCTGTCTTTCTCAGGATGTGGTCGCCCACAACAACCAGTCATCGTATCCAACAGGTACATGCCTCACCTGTGAGTTTATCAGACTCATTAACCATCAGACCACCTGTAAGTAAAACACGTGACTCACTCTCAGAGTTTTTCTTTGTTGTTCAGGCATTTTTTGCTCCGATGCTGCCAGCGGTTCTCCTGCTGAGCCGCCGGCTGCAGCTGGTGACGGAGGGCTGCAGTGCTCGGGGTGGAAAGCTGCACCTTCCGTCTCCAGCGCCGGGCTGCAGCCTGCTGTGATGCCCTGGTCTCCGTCTGACTACAACCAGCAGGACCCCTCAGCTCAGACTCTGGCCTACCCAGCCGCCCCCACACTCACTGCTGATGTGTACATGCAGACTCTGTGCCCCAGCTACACCATGCTGACCTACACACACACACCACTGCTGACAAACTTTGGGGTAAGTGAGAGAAGATCATGTGGGTATGCAGAACTATCTTTGAAGTAGTATCTTTGGGAGTAAAGACTGGACGGGAAAAATTAGTCCGAAAAGTGAATCCCCAGAACTTTAAAGGATACGTCTGCAAATGTTGTCACTTCTCCATGAAAGCAATGAGGCAAAAAACTTGTTGACATTCACAACAGATGCAACCACTGCAGCAATGCAAGTGTTTTTTTCTTGGGCATTTCTTCATCTTGCATTCTGTGTCAAAGAACTGGACTGAATCTAGTGATCCTGTTGCTATTTTTTTTAAAAACAACACATCTGATTAGCTGCGACTATAACTTTACATTGTTGTCCTGAGTTTTGTTTACTTTAGATCTTGCTGCATCCAGGAAGTGTAAATTTAGTCACAGTAAAGACTAATATTAAATCTGTTAATAATACAAATATAGTTGACGTGGCAAAAGAATATGAACGTCATTATTATTGTATCATTATTTTGTTATAATTAATTAAAATTAAATTACTACTGTGACCTGCTTTTTATCTGGTCATTAGTAGTGAGGCAGCGCCCTGTATTAACCAGCCGCCACTGTGGCTCTCTATCATTCACACCTTTATTGTTCATCATAAAAGGGGCTGTCATTGAAGTAGCTCCTGCAGCACTTTGGAGGTGCTGTGATTTGTACATGCTCTCAGTTGACAGACCCCCAACACAGTGGGAAGTTCTAAATTCTCCAGGAATCCTGTACCATGTCCACACACAGTGCTCGACACACCTCAGGAACAATCACTGACATGGTGACTACATCCCATACAGGACACAAACTCTAGTCTTCTCTGTGAAGGTTCTGCAAGTTATCTGTTTCACCCCTCCAACTTTCTTATGAGACTCTTTAAACTGGAAAAGCTACTATAAGTATATTAATGTTGAGTATCGACGGGGTGGCACCAGCGCCACAGGGCACTCCTCAGACTCCAGCAGCTGTGAAAAAAAAGCTCTATTTGAAGGTCTGGAAGTGAAAACAGGATGGAGCTGCTCCACTCTGTCGACCTTTTACTGCAGACACTCAGAAGCAAAAACAGTCAACTATTTCAAAGAACTACATCACATTACCGCATCGCAGGCAACCTGCAATTAACGTAATGATACCTATGCTCAAAAGTAATTTAACTGACATGCCAGGGAGATTGTATGTCAGTCATGCACCACTAAGTGAGGTGTATAGAACTGCACTAGAAATTAATGGGAATATTTATCATATCACTTAATCGTGTTTGTACAGGGAAGCGCTTTGAGCATGAAACCACCTTTAATGAAATGTGCTGTTTCTGTAGCTTCACTGCTGTGCTTCCGATGAAGAGAGTAGCTTCCCATACACATAGACAGTGAAGAAGGTGTTGGGATGTGTTCTCCACCATTATAACCTGTTATCATTGCACTGGAACTGACATGACAACCAACTGACAACTGTTTGCTGTCCTCAGCGTTACATGCCCACAGATGACAAGATAGATTTGGAATGGAGCACAGATTAAACTCTTTTAAGCCCACTAGTATTCTTTAACCTTCTATATTTAAAGGATTTCATTATTAGAGCTTGTGAAGCTGTGGCTCAGGTGGTAGAGCAGTTGTCCTCTGATCGTAAGGTTGGCGGTTCAATCCCGCCACAGTGGAAGTGTCCTTGGCCAAGACACTGAACCCGAAGTTGCTCCCAATGGCAGGCAGCACCTTGCATGGCAGCTCTGTCACCATTGGTGTGTGAATGTGTGTGAATGGGTGGATGAGAAAGCATTGTAAAGTGCTTTGAGTGCCGCTAAGGTAGAAAAGCGCTCTATAAGTGCAGTTCATTTACCATTTAAGAACATTTGGTCTTAACTCAGGGTATAAGCTCCCAATTTCCTCTGCACATTATAAAGAAGTTTTGAACACATCTGCACTGTGTAAAAAGCAAATTGCACTTTTAAGGACATCTTTCTATCTTTGCTAGTTTCAGTTTCTTTTTAATCAACAGAACCTCATGTTTGCTGTTTCAGACCATACCAGTGGGCCCAGGCCCAGCCTCCCTCCCTCAGATGGAGCTCCCAGACTCAGGGTTGACCTACCTTCCCTGGGCCCAGCCCCTCACCACCATATCTACCATGCCCAATCCAGGGGTCCAGTTTGCCCCAGGTTCTGCAGCCCTGCCCGGGTCACCTCTGGTCCACATGCCTTTGTCCATGTCTTTGACCACCATGTTCCCACAGCTGGAGGCCCAGGGTGCGGACCCTCAGCCGCAGATCCTGGACCTCCCACAGCATTCAGACCACCAGCTGGACCCTGAACCACAGGGTCAGTCTCTGAATGAAGATCCAGAGGTGGAGTCGGAATCACCAAACCTACTGGATAAACTTCTGGAGGATCACAAGGAACATGGTGAGGAGGAGGAGAAAGACTCATACAGCAGCTCAATCTTCATACCCAGCGTCTGAAAACACGAGTGTTCATTTTATCTATAGGGAGAACGGTTGTCTACTTCTTGTTTTTCTCAGGGAACATGTTCTTACACACCTTTCTTGCATCCGTTTTGACTTGATAAGCACGGATATTCTTTCTATCATTAATAACTGCTGACTCACAGTATGCTGAAGAGTTAACATCAAACGTCTGTTATTATGCATACTGGATCACTTGGTAAGGAGGCTTAAATAAAAGATAAGTCCAGTTTATTTTAGCCTGAGTTTTATTTTTGCAATAGTAACTTTCAAAATCAATGCTGAATTACTGATGGAGGCAGAAGGCCGCCCTCCCTGAGTTCTGTCTGAGGTTTTGTGTTTCGTCTCACTGTCACAAAGTCCTTGCTCGATTTTTTTTGGTTTCACTGTTTAAAATTTGTCAGCTTTTTACCTTACTGTGTGAAGTGTTACGGTGTGACATATGTTGTGAATTAGCGCTATATAAATAAATCCAGGAGTGTTGGGGGAGGTCAGTAGGAAACAACAAGTCACTTTGTTCCTGATACCATCTAATGTAGGTTCCCTGATTTGTTTGATAAATAGTTTACAACAAACTCTAATGAAGTTGTAGGCACATGTAAAGACATTTCTAAACATTAATGGCCACAACTACAAAAATAAGAACAGCGATGGAATAAACTACAGTTATCCATTAATGTTATTAGTTATTTACACTTTGTGCTTTTTCTTGCAATGACAGCCAATGTGTAATATTATTGTTTCTGATGCATTTAGGATGTAGTAAAATGTAAAGCCACCTACAGGATTGTTTGTTTCTTTTTTTGCAGATTGCAGCTATTTTTTATGTCACACTGACATGTTGCATCTCATAGATTTTGATTGTAAACACATCAAAGCAGCCTTTCAGATCTGTTATTACGTAAGAAGCTGGAAAATGATCATGTGTCGTTTTATTTTTGTTTGTTGTTGTCTGTTTTAGTGGCTGATGATTTGTGTAGCACCAGAGTAAAAGAAGGACTCATGACAGTAGGAGTAACACTCTCTTTAAAGGGTCTTACTCCTACTAGGTTTTCTTGATAGTAACCAAAATCCCTTCAGTTCTTACATTAATAGCTATGGTTTTGTACTGCCAAAAACAGTGCTTTTTAGGCATTCCATATTTTCTTTTTTGTCTGTTTTAGTCACATGATACACACAGGAGTTAGTACTTGATTGCATAACCATTGTTTCTGATGACTGCAGCCATGTGTCTTGGCTGCTCTCCACCATAGACTGTATAAAAGATGGACGTAGCTACCGTGACGTCACCCGTTGGTTTCTGCACTGAGAAAATGAAGCCAGGGTTTTGCTTCTTCCTGGTTGACATCTTGGATTTTGGGACTATGGGAGCCAGGGCTTTTTGGAGCCAGCAGCTGGCGGACGTAGTGATATTGCAGGTTTTTGACACTTCCGGGTTGGCTTCATTTTTCAGAGCCGGTTGCAGCGTCCATCTTTTATACAGTCTATGGTCTCCACCAGCTTCTGGTATTGTTCTGCTGTCACAGCAGCCCATTCCTGTTGCACAAATTCGATCAGATTTGCTTTGTTTTGGGGCTTGTGGTTCTCCATTTTTGAGTTTGATGATTTTCCACAGGTTTTCAGTTCGATCCAGGCTTTAACATTGTCTTGTTGGAAAATTCAGTCATTCGAGGCAGGAAAGAGTTTTCCAGCTGATGGAAGAAGACTGTTTTCAAGAGTAGCCCTGTACATGACCTGGTCCATTCAGCCTTCACACAGTTGCATTTGCCCTGTTCCACCCAAACTGAAACAAGCCCAGATGGTCACTGATCCACCCCCATGTTTTACTGTAGGGGCAAGACAGTCTGGTTTGTAGGCTTCTCCAGGCTTCCTCCTCACCAGTAAGTTGGCTGGAGTGGGCAGCAACTGAAAATTGGATTCATCACTGAAGAGAACCTCAGCCCAATCATCAACAGTCCAATCCTTGTGATCTCCAGCAAAGAGTAACCGGGCTTTCCTCTGCCTTTCATTGATGAAGGGCTTCTTCTGTGCTCTGTGTGACTCTGTGTGTCTTGCCAAACAAGTCACACTTCTCCACAGCGCCCACTCATTTTTAAGGTCCCTGGAGGTCTGATGATGATTCCTGACACATGAACAGATGAGTGCATGGTTATCTCGTGGGGTAGAAAGACGTTTCCTGCCACAACCAGCTAGCAATTTGGTAGTACCATGTTGGGCTTGTTTTTTCTTGGTGTAATTAACGGATGTCAGTTTTTCCGCTGCCTGTCTCTCACTCATGCCAACTTCCAGCAGTGCCAAGATGGCTGCCTTTGTGGCTTCACATAATTCTTTTGTTTTAGGCATTATGTGAGAGCTGACAACTTCTGAGTTGTGCTACGGCTTGAATGTAAGCAGGAAACCACTCCAGGCCTTTACATGTGCAGTGCTGCTCATGACATGAAGCGGCCTCTTATATACCCTACAGGGAATACAATTCAGTTTAAGCATGTCAAATAGGACATAAAGTATCATGTAATCAGCTGCATTTGTTGTCATGTTCATTGTATTCTTCAGGTAATATATCTTTAGTGGTACCAGGCATTAAAATGAACAGGAAATTGAAGAAAACAAGGGGGGTCTAATCATTTTTCCATGACCATTTATAAACAGACAAACACCCATAGGTGTCTTTAAAGCGGTTTGAAGCTCGGTGTGGTGGCTCCACCTCTCATCATTGTGGCAGTGCCTGATTCCTCCAGCGAAACCAAAAAAGGGAAGAGAAGTGAAGTGTGAGTAAGCTTGAGTTGGTCACTCCAAGCAGCATCACTTTAACTTTGTAGAGCTCTGAGCCATTGTATAATTAAAGCCAGTGAGGTAAATAACAATGAAGGTTGTTCCTTAGTTTAAACTTTGCTTCATTTGGCAAATTCTTGATGTTAAAACGTTCCCTTAAATGTCTCCCTGGTGCCTGATAAATAAGATGATGTAAATTACTTACACATTAACTGAGACGACAGCGTTGCAGAGAGATAAAGCAGCAGTGGTTGGTGTAGAAGTATAAATATAAATCTGATTTCAGAGATAACAAGTCAGTTATTTTCTGAAAATGGATTAATATCTGGTCTTTGTTAGCATTTTTAGGTACAAAGCTTTGTGCTGTGTGTGTTCTTGTGAAACCTTTCTTGTGTAGTTGTAGTTTAATCTTGTTATCAATTGGAGCCATCAACATGTTATCTGTCTACTTCTGTTGGTGTTCAACGAAAAACATGCAAGGTAATTGAAGAAATTAAATTGGACTGTCTCATAATGCTGCGGCCCGAAGCTGAATGACTGTCCTGGTGCACTTGGCAGTGGCGGTGTCTTTGTCTCGGGGGTTTCCCCTCAGGGGAAACTGACATCGTGAGAGGGGCTGCAACTCATCTGTCAAATCCCACACCTGGAAACACATGAGATCGTATCACAGGGAGAAAACGTGCTGGGCCTGCCCATGTGATGGGAACATGTGACGGAGGTTAGCTGTAGCTCTGTTTTTTCATTCAGACGTCAAAACTGTGAGAACAACATAAGAAATGGTGAGAGTACAGGTGGTACTCTGTAGTGAGTTACCTCGAAAACACAGAATATTAAACTGAGATAATTATTCTAAAACATGTGAGACAAGTGAAGCATAAAGTCCAAATTGCACAATTTTCAGTTCAATGACAGAATATCAGATGAGTTAAGAAAGTTTAAATCTGAAACTGAAAGATTTTATGTATCAGCATGAATGTCAAGATATTTGATTATCCAAAGACTCTCAAGGTGCATGAGTTATTTGTGAAGATGCTGTAAAATACAAGAATTTCACATTGAACCCATTAGATCTTATTTTGGGAGCATTACAGTGTGAATCATGCAAGTTAAAAATGTGGCACTCTGTATAAGACTAGAAAAAATAACAAGCACTCTGGAGATATTTTAGTTCAAAATATAGTGATATCAGTAAGTTTAATGCCATTTTGTTGAATTTTTTTCCTGGGCCTGATAGTCCTTCTAGTGAAAGAGACACATAAGTGGAAAAAGGAAGGAATTGCTTTTGTTTTCATTTCATTTCCGTTTGTTAATTGCCACATTCTCGGTTTTACGTGCTTGTCGGATGCATATACATGATGGACAAAAGCATGCAAACTCACTGGAAAATTTGATATAAAAAAATCAGTAACAACAATAATAGACAAACTAAACTTGAAGGTTGTCAGAGGTTGACAGGATTGTGCCAACGTTCAATCTAGCTGCTCAAAACTGAAGGAAATGTGGAGGTACTGCTGCAGTGTGTGAGGCCGTTTCAAGTAAGCCATCCGTGTGATTTTAAGACACATCTTGTATCAGTATTAAAACAACTCTTTGTCATCGAATGCATCATTCTGCATCTACTTGTTCTTTTTAAAACTTGGCAAAGGGTTTACCTGATGACTCATTGAGGTAGCATGTGCTGCTCTCAGAGTCTTTGTGCCACTTCATTGCAAAACTTAGAGCTCCCCTGTGGATCAAAGACAGGCCGGTGGGTTCTCTGCTGCCTTGTTGACGCAGCTTATCTTCGCTTGTCTTCAGGGTCCTTCAGGAACTTAGAGAAAGTCAATTACCTTTCAGCACCAGCAGTGAAGGGCAACATCATGAGAGACATTTTGTTTGTAAGTGCATGTAGCTTCTCACTTTGGTGTTTTCTTTCTCTCCCCTTCAGTGCATCCACATAACAGTTTATTTTATCTCAAAGAAAGAGTCAGTGTCTTGTGATAGCTGCAAGTGTTGAACCCCAGAGAGTCCCTTTAAACTGATCCATCTCTGGGCCAGGAGGCATTTGCAGAAACATGCCTGTGCAGAACCTCTGATAGCACGCTTGGGCGGGACACGTGGAGCGCTCGACAGGGCTCACCGTGGAAAGGTTGCGCCTCAGGGTCCCACAAATCTGGCACCCCAAGGAGGCTGACAATATGCAAAAGTCCTTTTATATTCATTCACTGTTACAAACTTGCATCTTGGTACCACTTCCTAGTAGATCACCCCCTTTTAAAAAGATCATAAAACTGGGATTGAGTCACCAAAGCTGCATAAATAATCCATTAGTATGACTGGGTTGTGGGGTTGTTACCAGGTATTGTAGCTAATCTGTTATATATACGACAATTTTCCCATTTTTAAATAAGTCATGAAGTCTGAACTTAGCAATGTTAGTCAGTCGGTATCCAACGTTCCACTGCAGGTGCAACGTGGCACAAATGATAAAAGGAACGACCCTTGAATCGGCCCTTTTAGCCTTTTAGTTTCCACTTCGATGTAGGAGTTGTCTGCCGAAGTGCACGAATACTGTAGTTACTGGACAAAACACTGATTCTACAAACATGCAGAAAATAGAACAAAGGAGGTTTGTTATTTCAGCCTATTTGGTAAATTTGTATGTTCTTGATGTTGATGTTAGAGCAGAAGACGGCTCGTACATCGACATCGAGAGACCAGAAAAAAGGGAACTTGTTGCCACTGTCCTCTCTGACTTGAACCAATCAGCATTTAGCTTCTCTGAGTTCAACCAATCAGAACCATTCTGCAGCTTCTCAAGGCTGCTCAAAAGTACCATCCCTGGACAAGGTATTTTGTTCACCCCAAAAACAGTTCTGAAAGAGGTTCTACAGCGATGGTTCTTGCAGGTGGGACATGCATAGACATTTCGGTTTGCACTAACACAGCCCAGAGGTTCCTGCAGCAGAAAACATACGACTTCAAATGAGTTTCAGTTTGGTTAAGTTGCTTATGAAAGTGCTCTGAAAAA